TGCCACAGCCAGCGCCCTACGCTGGCTGCGGCCCTCAAATCTCCCTTTTTGCGATTTTGTCCCGATTTTGCTCCAATTCGCGCCCTTGCATCCCAAATTATATCCGAATGATTCCTACACATAGAAATACCAAAATTTAGCACAAATAATCACATTAAACATCTCAAATCGTCGAGACATGAGTAAAATGTGAGGCAATATATATCAAAATATGCATACATTAAGCCGATTATCAAAAATCATAACACCGGCAAACCTTAACGCATTTAACCACGCGATGACACCACATCACAATTGAAAATTTTACAACGCTCGAAAATATCAAGACTCATTACTCCATCAACCCCAAACCTGAACATTCATAGTACGATTACCTTCCCTTTTGCTGGAATAAAATGTAGAACCTTTTCATCATATACTGAGAATAACCCTTTATTTTCACTGCGTCGGTACATAAATGAGCACCCCGTCATACATCAATTTTGCGAGATAATAACTCATGAACATCGTAGTAACCTGTGCGTAGCCTCAAAACCCTCTGAAATATAGCTACTGAGCTGAAATGACATAACACCATTCTGCAAGATGACAACAATAGTCCAATCATTTATGCAGGGAGAAAACATCCTGCCTCACATCGTACCATTACAATTCCTCAATTCTCAATGTATAACAAGCGTTTCACGTCACATAAGATCGAGTAGGAAAGAAACAAAGGCATAAGCCTCAAAAGAATCGAATCGCACGATGAGGAATCAAGAAGGGAAATGCTCCTAACAGCCATGTAGCCTCTCGAAGATAAGCACAGACGTCTCCGTACCGATCCGCAAGACTCTACTAGACTTGCTCATGACTCGTGAGACCTAAGTGAACCTAGTGCTCTGATACCATGTTGTCACGACTCAAATCTCACCTAAAGGTCATGATGGCATCGGACACCGCTGTCAGGCAAGCCAACAATACAAACTTCACTTAATTACACATTTAGTATTTTTGAAATCAAAATTTCTTTAATGAAACAACAAAGATAGAACTCATAGAGTAAATGTTAAATATTTTTAGCAACTAAATTTCTAAACAATCCGTAACCGTTCCCAAAACCCGGTGTCACAAGTGCATGAGCATTTACTAAGAAATTAAAAATAAAATACAGCATCTGTCTAGAATACAAATTAGACAGGAAAATATAAATAACTCTGAAGGAGACTCTGTTGGCTGCGGATCGTAATATAGAATGCAGCACACCTAAGTCCCTGCATTTTAACCACATCTCTGTACCCACAAGGCTACTAGACATATCTGTGCATGCACAATAAAATGTGCAACAAGTGTAGTATGAGTATGTAAACAACGTGTACCCAGTAAGTATCAAGCCTAATCTCGAAGTGGTAGAGACGAGATGGCCGACTTTGACACTCACTATGGGTCAATAATAAAAATTAAAATAAAACTAGAATATCTAAATCAACATGATTCACAGAATTTACAATAATTTATTTAACCAGCAGAAATAATTAAATTCCTTCAAATGCAACAATTCTCAATATATTAATTAAATTCCTTCAATTCCAATAAATTTCTAATTTATCAATTAGTCTCATTTACAAGAATAACAATAATTCCTTAACAAGCAGGAATAATAATTCTTTAAATTCCAAAGATTTCCAATTTATCAATTAGCTTCGCAAGCTGCAATAAACTATCAAAGTATCGTGTAATTATTATTATTAAGCATGATTTCTGCCGAGGTCGTTCGGCCCGATCCAGAGAGTTGTGTACACTGCCGAGGGACGTGCGGCACGATCCATAGATGCATCTATCCTGCTGAGGCGTTCGGCCCGATCTACAAGAAAGGAGGACATTTTCTTATGTACCTCCAGAATAAGAGTATTTATTGTAAAATTTATTTGAGAGGATAACAATTTATTTTAACAATTAATTTATCTAAACAAAAATTAAGCATATGAAAATTTCATCTTTTACTACCATTCATAACAATTCACAATATATATACATCAAATAATTTAATTAATAAAGAATATAATTTACACAAGTAATTCATGCTTTGAGTCCTAAACTACCCAGACTTAAGCATTAAAAGTAGCTACGCACGGACTCTCGTCACCTCGTGCGTACGTAGCCCCCGCAATTAGCAATAATTATTTAATTTAATCATCTATGGGATAAATTTCCCCCTCACAAGATTAGACAAGAGACTTACCTCGTCTTGCTCCAATTTAATCCACTAGCAGGCCTTTTCCTCGATTATCCAACTTTGATTGGCTCGAATCTAACCAACAATAATTCGATACAATCACTAAAATTTATAGGAATCACTTCTATAAGAAAATACTATATTTTTATTAAAAATTTCGAAATTAATTAAAAATTTGTCCGTGGGACCCACATCTTGGAATCCGGCGAAAGTTACGAAATCTGATAATCCATTCAATTACGAGTCCAACCATACCAATTTCACTCAAATCCAACTCTGTATCGATACCGAAATCTCAAAAATTCATTTTTAGGAGATTTCTAAAATTTTCCCAAATTTCAATCTCAAAACACTAATTAAATGGTGAAAACAATGATATATTTGTGTATATAGACCAAATCCGAGTTGGAATCACTTACCCCAATGTCTTTCCTTGAAAATCTGTCAAAAGTCGCCTCTGCTCAAGCTCAAGTTTGTCAAAAATGGCAAATGGGTCGAATGCCCCTTTTTTATAACTTACAGATCTGTCCAGTCCGATCAGGGAGCTCGATCAGGGAGTCCGATCATGGGAGTTCAATCATGGGGGCTCGATCAGGGAGTTCGATCATGGGAGCTCGATCAGGGAATCCGATCATGGGAGCTCGATCATGGGAACTCGATCAGGGAGTCCGGTCATGGGAGCTCGATCATGGGAGATCGATCATGGGAGTCCGATCATGGGAGCTCAATCAGGGGAGCTCGATCTTGGGCTCAATCACAGTCCAAAATTTCTAGCAGAAGAGAAAAATTGCAGCAGCTGTTTAAGTTCAATATTTTTGATCCGTTAACCATTCGAAACTCAACCGAGGCTTTCGGGACCTTAACCAAATATACCAACAAGTCCTAAAATATCTTACAAACTTATTTGAAATCTCAAATCACATAAAACGACGCTAAAACCACGAATTATGCTCCAATTCAAGCTTAATAAAACTTAATATTACCAACTTCTACATTCGAAGTCGAAGCCTATCAAATCAAGTCTGATTGACTTCAAATTTTGCACACAAGTCATAAATGATATAACGGAGCTGTGAAAATTTTCAGAACTGGATTCCGACCCCGATATCAAAAAGTCAACTCCCCGGTCAAACTTCCAAATTTTAAATTCCTATTTTAGCCATTTCAAGCCTAATTTCACTACGGACTTCCAAATAAAATTCCGATCACGCTCCTAAGTCCAAAATTATCATGCGGAGCTGTTGGAATCATCAAAATTCTATTTCGGGGTCGTTTGCATATAATGTTGACCGAAGTCAAACTTGGCCTTTTAAGGCTAACTTAAGGAACCAAGTGTTCCGATTTCAACCCGAACACTCCAAATTCCGAACCAACCATCCCCGCAAGTCATAATTCAATAAAAGCACATTCAGGGAGTTTTATTTTAGGGAACGTGATTCTAAAAGTTAAAAATGACCGGTTGGGTCATTACAAATCTGGCTCAATTGAATGTCATGCTATAGTCGTTCATGATAGATTCGTTACTATGGGAATATAGGATTGATGGGTAGTATTGCGGGAGCATACTATTCATATAAATGATCCAGACAACTAACAACCATAGATAATTCGGGTTAACAAATGTAATCATGATTTACGAATTCAATAGGATTGATAAGCCGATCCCGTGATCTTCTTCTCAGTTGGTTAAGTCGTATTCATAAACACTTGCTTTTTTGTTAGTCTAGTTAATTTCTTGTTTAATTTCTGCAATATTAATTTAGTCATAACCACCAATTTTTAATACCTTGAACATATAATAATTTCTTGTTTGCTTAGGTAACTGACTAATCTAAGTCTATGTTGATTCCAATTTTGAATAAATTTACTACTTGTGAGCACATATACTTGTGTGCTGGCAGGTGACCATCTTATAATTGAATATAAGCACTGAAAGTAAGAGAAGTGAGGCGTTCGGGACCTACTCTAGTAGAGGAACCAACCCCGTAAAACTTGACCAAAAGATAGCTAAGTTCCTGTCACTAACTTTACTTTTGGGAAACAACAAAGATACAAGGTAAAAGTTCTACCAGCAACTGGTAAACTACAACTGGATTCTTTAGAAAAAAGTTGTTCTAATGTCTTCTATAAAATTTGGCATCTTTTTTTCTGTCCCTAAATGAATTAACGAGATATTAGCTTTTGTTATTTTCTGAGGACCTCAACTGAGTCAATTGTTAACGTCCGTTGCATTATTTTCGACTCAAATTCGCAATTGTAGTAACCCACAACAACATCGTACCAAATTATGTTAGATTTAACAAGTGACTAAATAGATCGAAGTGCCATAAAAGTTCGGGAAGATGCCACAAAAGTCCGATTAAAATTGTCCATAAATTAATCATAGTCCGATTTTTTTCTCAGGACTTTAATACTTAAATGGCCAATTCTAGTAAGCTGCTTATACATAGGTTGCCTAACTTCTATAATTCAGTTGGCTGCTTAGATTGACTTGTTTAGGGCATAAATATGAGTTAATACTTTTCTAGGGGTCTAAGTGTCCAAACAGGGCCTTATCTAGTAGTTTAGATGTGGGTACAAGGTAAAATACTAGTAAATCGAAATTTATCTATGTAAAATTCATTGGAATTACCGAAAATATTAAATTAGGAACCCAAAACTCATACAAAGTGATAGGGTTCAATGAATGGAACCTAAATTCTAAACTCATAAAATTAAAATATTAGATTCGCTATTATTACAATCATATACCTTATTTTAAGTATTTGCGTCCTAATTAGTGTTGTTAACATGTCCATTAGTTGATAGAGTCATTTGTGACCTATACGTATGGTTCGGGTTGAGATCCAAGGAGCTCGAGATGTCGGACTTGATTGCAACTTGAAAATAGTGCAATATTTTGTTGGTGCCAATTATGACTTACGCGGTTGCGGACCTGGAGGTCGCAATCGCGGAGTGAAAATGTGGATGGACTGAGGGTTAGGCAAAATGCCTTCGTGATCACTTCGGGTGGTCGCGATTGCGAAAAAAGATTTTGGAGTTGATTGAGTTTGATCTTTGCAATCGCGTGAGGAGGTCTGCGATTGCCTATAAAGCCTAACCTGGGTTTTGGACTTTGACAAATTTCAGACTTCATTCTTTGCCTTTTTGGAGAGGTGGAGCTCGTGGGTGATTCCAAAAATGGATGGATTTCAGCCTAAATCATTAAGGTATTGATTCTCTAATACTCTATGATGAATATACTTGATTTTGGTGCAATCTTGACCACAAAATCATGAGATTGAAAGAGTTAATTGAGAATTTTTGACATAGTTTCCTAATATGATTACAATCATATACCTTATTTTAAGTATTTGCGTCCAAATTAGTGTTGTTAACATGTCCATTAGTTGATAGAGTCATTTGTGACCTATACGTATGGTTCGGGTTGAGATCCAAGGAGCTCGAGATGTCGGACTTGATTGCAACTTGAAAATAGTGTAATATTTTGTTGGTGCCAATTATGACTTACACAGTTGCGGACCTGGAGGTCGCGATCGCGGAGTGAAAATGTGGATGGACCGAGGGTTAGGCAAAATGCCTTCGTGATCACTTCGGGTGGTCGCGATTGCAAAAAATGATTTTGGAGTTGATTGAGTTTGATCTTTGCAATCGCGTGAGGAGGTCTGCGATTGCCTAGAAAGCCTGACCTGGGTTTTGGACTTTGACAAATTTCAGACTTCATTCTTAGCCTTTTTGGAGAGGTGGAGCTCGTGGGTGATTCCAAAAATTGATGGATTTCAGCCTAAATCATTAAGGTATTGATTCTCTAATACTCTATGATGAGTACACTTGATTTTGGTGCAATCTTGACCACAAAATCATGAGATTGAAAGAGTTAATTGAGAATTTTTGACATAGTTTCCTAATATGATAAAATTAAGATTTGAGCATGCAAATGAACTGTAAATGAGAAACTAAATATAGATTTAGACTCATGAGCTTATGGGTAATCAGGTTATGTGGTTTATTATGAGGTTTGATTAGTTTGATTGAGAGTTAACTTTGAACGTCAACTTTGACTATGACTTATTTTAAAATTTAAAAATAGTTCCCGTAGACTAATTTGGACTTGTTATTCAATATTTGACATAGATTGAGGTGATTGGATGTAGTCTTGGTGGACTTGGGTTTTTCAAGTGAAGCTAAGGTTGACCATTTTAAGGAAAGTGAGACTTTTAACCTCTCGAATAAATGCTTTCTTTTCAACGCCATGATTTAGAACTTGTATGAATGCTCTTAAATACCTAATATGTTAAGTAGCGAGCGTGTATTAGAGTATTTATACCATTTTTTTTAGCTTAGATGCTATATGTGTCGACGCATTTCTCTTACGTAGTTGAGTTATAAGCATGTGTTATAATACCTTTTATGATAAACTGAGCATAATATATTAGTGTGTACTGATTATGAAGCATTGATAGAATGTGTGTCCTTCCTATACGTGTTAAGACTCATAGCAGGACTTTGTTCTTATCTATTGATATTGTTAGCTTGCATTGTTTGATTTGTGTGTATATGTTTGATGACTTGAGATATGTCACGACCCAAATCCCTTCACGGGGTCGTGATCGGCACCTAATTTCCCAAATTAGGTAAGCCGATCACTTAATATTATTTTTAAAAATAAGCATGATATAACAAAATAAAGTTTAACATCAATGTGAAAACAGAAGTAATACAGGCCAAAGCGGCAATACTCAACATAACTCCCCAGAACTAGGTAGTACAGAGTCACGAGCTCTAACTGAATACATGAGAATATTTCAAAATACAGTAGTGTGTGAAATACGCAAATAATAGAAATGAAACAAAGAGGGTGACTCCGAGACCTGCGGTCGGATCATGCAGGGATACCTTGAAGTCTCCGATATGCAGAATGCCTCACTAACTATCAGCCCGATCCAAAGTACCCGGATCTGCACAAAAATATACAGAAGCATAGTATGAATACACCACAATCGGTACCTAATAAGTATCAAGACTAACATCGGTGGAGTAGTAACGAGGTTCCAATCATATGATACTCACTAGACAAATATTATGTGCAGTGAATATATCAAAGAAACTGACAACATAAATATAACTGGAAACAACAACAACAATCTCTTTAGAACGTGTAATAACAACTCAGTGGAGTAAAACCCATCTTTCATCACAATTATCAAATAGAGGTGAGGCATGTGATAACACGTCAAATACAACAATTAACTCATATAAGTGCAAAATAAAAACTTTCAGAAACAATTATGTAATAAAAATATCAATCCCGTCTCAACACAATCACAATAACAAGAAGGACACCCAAAATATCACGTAACATTATCAGCAATGCCACCCTTATTCTGTCGCATGTGCACATAACAATGAAATGCCTCCCGTATTTTTTCACATGCGCATATAGCCACCCTTATTTCGACACGTGGGCAGCTTGAGATAACATCACCCTTATTTTGCCCCACGAGCACAATAATAGATACAACCGCACGACAAAGACCTCGTACTGACACCCTCAATCAATCCGCTTAATATGTCCACAAGTGCCATAATACCATAAAATAATAATACCAAGTGTCACAATATCACAAACAATGATACCAAAGTTTTACCAAGATATAAGCTCACAACTTTCAACAATAGTGCATAAGGACATAACAATAATCATAAAAGTGTAGGGGTGTTCAATAAATAAAGCATGACTATTCAACGTAATGATCAAGAACAAATAGTCATAAAGTGGTCTCAACATGTTTTATATAAAGTTCATAATCACATTAAGACATATTAATAGCCTACAGTCTATTCTAGTCAAAATCATACATATTACCCACATACACGCTCGTCACCTCATGTACACGTCACGTTTTACATCATAGAAATTAACAAATTAGGGCTAGAACCTAAGGTGAGTTTTTCCACACAAGATTAGACAAGATACTTGCCTCAAACAAGTCAAATCAGTACTCTAAAAATCCCTTCTCGCGTGAATCAACCCCCGGACAACTCGAATCTAGCCAAAATAACTTAATAATATAAATAGAAGCTACAGAAAATAACACCAAACAATAAAGCTTCGATCTTGAAGAAAAATAAAAAAGTCAGCTCAAAAGTCAATCCGGACCCGTCTCTCAAAATCCGACAAAAATCATAAATTTCGAACACCCATTAGAATACAAGTCCAACCATAGCAATTTCATCTAAATCCGACTATAAATCTAAATTCAAATCCCTATTTTTCATTTAGAAAGTTTTTTATTAAAACTTCCAATTTCTTTACTTAGATTCATCAATGAATCCCTAAAATCAAGGTTGGAATAATGAGTAATACATTAATCCGAGTAAAAAATGCTTACCCCAATCCAAATCGTGAAACTTTCCTCCAAAATCACCCAAATCTGAGCTCCCAATCTCAAAATGTAATAAATGAAATAAAACCAATGTTCAAGATATATTTTGCCCAGCATTTTCGCTTTTGCGGTCTCTCAGTCGCATCTGTGGTACCGCATATGGTGAAAAACTTATCGCATACGCGGAAGCAACTTAAATCCTAAAGATCCGCTTCTGCGGCCAAAACAGCGCTTCTGTGAACCAATAGGCGCACCTGCGATGTCTTTTTTATGACACGAATACTGCACCTGCGGACATCCAAGAGCCCAACCATTAACGCATTTGCGATCCCTTGTCTGCTTCTGCAGACTTGCACCTGCGAACCAAATGTAGCAAGTGTGAAAGCACCAGAACTGATCACCCCAAACAATCACAAAATTCGAAGCCCATCCAAAACTCATCCGAGGCACCCTGGACCCTATCCAAACACACCAACCAATTCCAAAATATAACACATACCTATTTGAGGCCTCAAATCACACAAAGCAACATCAAAATTACGAATCGCACCGTAGTTCAAGCCTAAGGAACTAATACAAATTTCAAAATTCAAAACTTACGTCGAACGTGCCTAAACACCTCAGAATGACCTCAAATTTTGCATGCATGTCCCAATTACCACAATGGACCTATCCCAACTCCCAGAACCAAAATTCGAACCCGATATTAACTAAGTCAAACCTATTAACCTTCAACTTTCTAACTTTCGCCAATCCAAGCAAAAATAATCTAGGAACCTCCAAATCTAAATCCAGACATATGCCTAAGTCCAAAATTACCATACGAAACTACTGGAACCATCAAAATATCATTTTGGAGTCGTCTACACAAAAATTAAACTTCGATCAACTCTTACAACTTAAGCCTCTAACCAAGAGACTAAGTATCCCAAATCAATCCAAAACCTCCCCGAAACCAAACTAACAATCCCCCCAAGTCACGTAAGCACAAATACACATGTGTAAAGCATAAAATGGGGGAAACATGGCTAAAACACTCAAAATGACCGATCGGATCGTTACATTCTCCCCTCTTAAATAAACATTCATCCTTGAACGAGTATAAAGACATACCTGAAGTGCCAAAAGGTGAGGATATCGGCTCCGCATATCATGCTCGGTCTCCCAAGTCGCCGCCTTGACCAGTTGACCTCTCCACTGAACCTTCACTGATACAATGTTCTTTGACCTCAACTTCCGGACCTGTCTGTCCAAAATAGCCACCGACTCCTCATCATATGTTAAATCCTTGTCCAATTGCACTAAGGTGAAATCTAATACATGTGATAGATCACCATAATACATCCGGAGCATGAAAACATGGAACACCGGGTAAACTTCTGATAAGCTGGGTGGCAAACCAAGTCTGTAGGACACCTCGTCGACTCTCTCAACAATCTCAAAAGCACCAATATACCGAGGGCTCAACTTGCCCTTTTTTCTGAACCTCACACACACTTTTCATGGGTGAAACTCTGAGTAAAACCCTCTCACCCACCATGAATGCCACATCAAGAGCACTCCTATTAGCATAACTCTTTTTCCTAAATTGTGATGTACGAAGCTGCTCCTAAATTAACTTCGCCTTCTCTAAAGCAACACATACCATATTAGTGCTCAACAACCCAGCCTTCCCAGGCTCAAACCAACCAACCAGAGAACAACATCACCTCCCATATAAGGCCTCGTAAGGAGCCATCTAGATACTCGACTGATAGCTACTGTTGTAGGAGAACTCTTTTAGCGATAGAAACTGATCCCAAGAGCCCCCAAAATCAATGACACATGCATGTAACATGTCCTCCAAAATCTGAATAGTGCGCTTGGACTTTCCGTCCGTCTGTGGATGAAATGTCATTCTCAGCTCGACCTGTGTGACCAACTCATGCTGCACGGCTCTCCAAAAATGCAATGTGGACTGCATGCCCAAATCAAAGATAATAGACACCGGCACACCATGAAGGCGAATAATTTCACGAAGATAAATCCGAGCCAGCTGCTCTGAAGAGTAGGTAGTCATGACTGGAATGATGTGTGTAGACTTAGTCAGTCTGTCCACAATGACCCACACTGCATCGAATCTCCTCAAGGTCTGTGGAAGTCCAACTACAAAATCCCTAATGATACGCTCCCACTTCCACTCCAGAATATCAAGCCTCTAAAGCAGACCACCTGGTCTCTGATGCTCATACTTCACCTGCTGACAGTTCAAACACCCAAAAACATACTCGGCAATATTCTTATTCATCATATGTCACCAATAGTGCTGACTCAAATTATGGTACATCTTCGCGGCACCCGAATGAATGGAAGACCGCAAACTATGGGCCTCCTCAAGAATCAGCTCCTACAACCCATCCATATTTGGAACA